GGGGGATCAATGGTGATCGAGGACGGCGAACCATGAGTACTTCCTGTGCGTGAACTGTTCTGTCATTGGCGTTGGTTTCCATACTGTCGAAGTTGCTGATAACTTTAGTAGAGGCTTTAAGGTCGCAGATCGAGTCTCCTTCTTAGTAGGGTAGAATTGCTATTGTCGTCGTGTCGACTAGTCGGGTGCCGCTATCCTCAGGAATAGAACCTAGCCAGTGGACGATGCAATCTTGAGATGTTATAGTTAGTATGAGACCTTCCTGAGCTCCCTTCAGTGGCATTCTAAGCACCGGATCGAGGAATCCTTCGGGCCGTGTCTGATAAGATGTTGCCATGTTGTGGAGTCCAAACGGAAAAGGACCCGACTTCTTGGAAAGACTCTGAGTGTACTCCGGGTTGTATTCTTGGTAGGCCAAAGCCGCGTTCTTAAGTCCCATCGTTAAAGAACTCGGTTTCCCGAAAGAACTCGGATAAGACTCCATCTCAGATGCGGAGCCTGAGTTCTAGTCGGATGCGTAAAGCTGCGAAATCTGAGTTGGATCGGATATCACGAGTTGTGCGAATCTTCCAGTGAGTTGGTCTGTCGTAGTCGCTGAAATAGAAAGGTCTTCATGGTGATCCGAATCTTCGAGGAGATGACTTTGGAGCCTGCCATTGTTGTCTGCCTCGCAGATCCATGAGCCAAAGATGAAGGTTGATTCCGTCGAGAAGATCATGCTGTCGAGGTCCATCGAGCTCTCGGATGCAAATTCGCCGAAAGCCCCTACCTGGCGCGCCAGCTGTCGATGTTTGACCACTGATAGCCTACCACGGGGATACCTGGGGCAGTATGTTTGGGCTTCAGCGTATGCGGAACTCGATGGTGAACGCAAGAGATAGTCGATTTATCCTGGTTCGGGCCCTTGATCGCTGATCGAGTAATAGCCCTACGTCCACTCGGCGTTAGCCCTTGCGTTGTATTGATTGTCTGGTGTAGTGTTGTTACAGTCGTAAAAGTTGTCTCTTCCGGCTCTAGGAACCCTGCCCTCCTTTATATAGTCAGGAGGTCAGAATCCTAGGCGGTTTACAATGAGAGTTCCTAGTATGATTACAGAATAATACTACTACTAAGATTACATGAGAAGAATCCTAGTTAGACTAGATCTTCTCCCTTCCTTGCGGGGTATCCCGTGGGTCCCGCACCGACAGTGCCAAAGGAGATCATTTCTAATATGAAGAGCACCAAGAAGGTTTAGATCCTGAAAGGGAAGTGAGAAGTCCGATGGACTTCGAGGAATTTGGAGACTTGCCAAAGTATGGGTGCATTTCATGGGGTGCATCATTATGGACAAGGAAATTGCCAAGTGGGCTAGTGAATACTATAGACCCAAATTCCCCTTCCCATATTAGGTAACTAGATTTAAATTCTTGCTATTTCACTTAGCATCTAGTTCCTTTTCATGCCTAGATTTGCATTTGCATGTTTAATCTTTTATCTTGCATACACTAGGTATATCTTATGGTAGGCTTGCTCGGTTTCACTCTTAACCCTTGGAGCAAACCTACATGGTTTTAATTGTTTAGGAGCACGGCACATAGCTTGTTTTACAATTATTCATCTAATATGTGCCAAAGTCTAAATTGTAGGTAATTTCTCCCAAATATCACCTTCGAAAATGATTCTCACATTCATGTGATGTCATCTTTCAAGTGGTATTTTTTTATTCTAAAATCAATATGCATGTCTCCTACAAGTATTCCATACTTGTGTGCACAAATTTAGGGGAGGTTACTCTACAAGTTGGATGCCTTGAGACTAACACCTTTTCAAGCTTATCATGTGTGTAGTAGTCTCATTATAAGGAAAATGGAGTCCCCGGAGTTAAGCATCACACTTCAAATATCCACCACCTATTGCAAGTGGTATAAATTAAATTGGTTTTCGCATGCGATATTTCTAAACCGATATCATCATGTTGATTTCATTTTGGTATTTATATGCTTTCTCCATGCATTATATAGATTAAACTCCCTTGAGCATTAATTTACCAATTATGCATAAACTACATTCTCCATCATATGTATGCATATATTTAGGGGGAGCTTAGTTTATGTAATGTGAGAGCCAAATTTTGTGACATATTCCACTCCACATACAAAGGATCACAAAGTTTGACCCTCCCTCGTGCTACTAATGTCTTCCTTTTCGGTGTTTGATTCCAAAGGGGGAGATTTTGTAGGACCAAAAGCAAGCCAGATCATAATAATTTATAAGTGGTAATGGTCCGAGAAAGGGAGGATAGTGGATTATGAAGTTAGAGGGAGGCTTAAATCCATAATGCCACATGGGGACATTTGCAAAGGCAAGATAAGTTTTCGAAAGATATTTAATGTGGTATCTTTTAGCATCATATAACCTTGTCCTTTTGCATTGCATCACAGCAAATAAATAGTTTTTAAATTCCAAAAATTTTATTATTTGCTTGTTTTGGTCGTGTTGTCATTAATCACCAAAAAGAGGGGAGATTGTAAGGAAAATGGACCCTAGACCCATTTACTTTAGATTTTGGTGTTTGATGACCAACACAACCAAATTGGACTCATAGATTTGCAAGTAATTATTTTGTAGTTCAATAGGATGCAAAACGTGACTTGGACGTAGGCGACGTGGTGATCCGATGATCAACACCTCAAGAAATACATGTGAAGATGCATAGAAGACATACAAGGTCAAGCAAAGTCCAAGCACGAAGATTGGAACCAAGCCGGACGCAAGATCACGAAGAAATGAGCCTGGCAGCTGTGACCGGACGCTGAGCAGCAGTGACCGGACGCATCGGTGACACTATTCATCGTCACGGTAGTGTTTTCAGCGTGACCGGACGTAGTAGACTAGATGACCAGACGCACGAGGTGCAGCGTCCGATCGAGTCCAGAGCGGCGCCAGCGCGACCGGACGTGTTCGGTCGATGATGACCGGACTCAGCCCAGAGTCCGATCAACGCGCGCGCTCTAACGGTCGGGACGACCGGACGCGTCCGGTCAGGACGTGATCGGCGTCCGGTCAGTAGCAGAAAAGTGGGTTTCGTCCCCAACGGCTACTTTCTCAGTGGGGCTTATAAATAGACCCCCAACCGGCCATTTGAGTCATGTGGAGCTGAGGAAACATACCAAGGGTGTTGATAAACTATTTTAGTGAGCTCTACTTGCATAGTGCTTAGTGATTCATTAGGTGATTAGCGTAGGTGCTTTGCGAAGTGCTTATGTTGATTAGACCACCGCCTATGCGTTTGCTCTAGGTTTAGGCCTAGTGTTTAGTGAGGTTTGCATACATTTTACCACTTGGTGCTTGTGTGCACCATTGTTGTACATCGGAGGGGCTTGCAATCTTGCGAGATCACACCAACCGCGTTTGTGGTGTGGCCACCACCGTATACCGGAGGGAACAAGGCCCGCGGCGGTTCGGCCGGAAGCTTGATAGTGAAGACGGCGGGGAGCATCCGGAAGAGGCTTGCCAGAAGGCACGTCGGAGACCCACTTGCGCGTGGGGAAGGCCCAAGACTATCGACGGAGTTACCCGACCGGGAGCTTGGCCCTTGCGAGGGGCTCCAACGAGGACTAGGGGTAAGTTTGCACGCTTCTCGATACCTCGGTAAAAATACCGGAGTCGTCGACGGGAGTTTGCATATCTCTATCTTACTCTTTAGCTTCCGCATTTACATTGTTTGCATAACTCCTTTTTTGCGGTAGAGATAGCAACACACTAGCAAAACCGTAGTTGCACATTTAGATAGTTTATCTTTTGCATAGGTTTTGCTAAGGTTAGAAAAAGATACCATAGTTTAAAGTTAGAGTTTTAAGTTGCCTAATTAACCCCCCTCTTAGGTGTCACGGTCCCCTTTCACTTGTTTTCATTAACGAGTGGCAATCGTGGGTAAATGCGTCTCAACTCCACGAGTAAGTACAAAATTTTAAAAACTGAAGTACCCCACCTTTTTCTTGGAGCAAAGTTCTTGGAGCTGGAGGTGTTTAGCAACGCAGAGCTGGAGCGAAGCCGAAAAACGAAAACGGAGCAGTCCCAAACACCCTCTTAAAGTATGATATTTTTCCCTCAACGCTCCGTCTGTTGTTCCTCACTTCCACTTTTATCAGGGCTAGATTGTGTCCAACTCCAACACGATCTCAGACTCTCCGTTATAGTTTGGAGCTACGAAATAAGCTAGATTGCATCAATCATGCCTCTGTTCTTCAGCACTATTTCAGCGGTACTTTAGTAAAGGAACAATATTTTCCTCTCGCAAGAAATTAACATCAGCAGCAGTATCAACCAAATTTCAGCGAAAAGAACAGGGCCACATGTTGTGGCCTGGCCGGTAGAGCAAGAGCTCGTGCATCCTCCTTTTTCAAATTCATAGCAAGTGCACACAATAGTCATTCATTTTCACTTAAACTTAGTCAATCTCTAATCAAGTTTTTATATGAGACTAATTTTTATTGCATCTAATAGAATTTACTTAGAGTTGGGATTTGATTGAAATAAGGTTGACCAAGCGGGCTAAGACCATTAAATACCACAACGATGGCTAGGTCCAGGTATCCAGATAACATATTCACACGTGTGGTCGAAACATTCATACGTGTGTTTGAGCTTCAAAGTTCAGCACTGTGGATCGATTCAATCAGCATCATTCTTGTGTTTGAGCTTATTTTGGGTGGCCACGCAAATTGGGAAGTAGCAGCACAGAATTCCAGGGCGCGCAATCTAGGGCATGCACGGAAGAACCACAGGCATGTTGGCTCGCCGCGGCAACTGCTGCCGGTGGCCACAAGCCCACGCAAGGCCACAACTCCAAGTCGGGCACCCAAGGTGAACACTCCTAGGCCCTAGCACACAGGGGAAAACGTGCGGCGGCGTATCCAAGCAACGTTCCCATTATTTTATTATTATCACTCAAGCAGTCCACCAATGAATCATCAAGATATCTCACGTGACCTACCAATCTACTACTTCTCTACTTTCTATGCCGGCCCGGTTTTGAGCGCGCGGTCCAGATCAGCGATGAGGTCCTCGACGTCCTCGATGCCGACCGATATCCGGACGAGGTCATCCGTCAGGCCGCGCTCCTCGCGGACCACCGCAGGGATTGCTGCGTGGGACATGAAGCACGGCAGGCTGATGAGGGACTTCACGCTCCCTGAATTCAGGAAAGGCAATGGAAGCCGTCAGTCGAGAGAGTTCAGTAGGCAGATGGTACGGTAAAAGCAAGCATCTTCGAAGGGATCGAGTTCGTCTGGATGCTCACCGAAGCTGACTGTTACGCTGAAGTGCCTGGTGGTCTCGACGACGTGCTTTGAGAGAGCCAGTGAGCCGGTGAGGAAACTGAGAACAGAGCCCGCTCCCTTTGCCTGACGAACAAGAGAGAAATGTAACAAGCATGCATAACTGATCAGGACAGACCGCTCTCTTAAGCTACATGCGAGGCAGCATGGAAAATAAAAGGTATACCTGAGAATAGTGTAAAGCCCGTCCAGGATGGTCAGGAAGCCCAGCGTAGTTCACTTGCTTGACCCTCGGGTGAGACGCTAGGAATTCAGCAATCTTCTGGGCATTAGCCTAACAATAACCAACCAACCTTTAAGCCTCTTTAGAGAAATGATGAAACGGCCAGAGACTCGAGGGGGTGAAAAGATATATACTAGCATACAAGTTACAGAAAAGCTTCACCTGTTGTTTCTCCACCCGCAAAGCCATGGTTTTGATTCCCCTCAAGCAAAGCCAGCAGTCAAAAGGTGCCAAACCTGATCCTTCAGCATTTTGCAGAAACGCTATCTCTTTAGCCAAGCTGCCAGCAATCAAAAGAAATATTATACCCGCAGTTCGCAAGTACTATGAATGTTGTTTGTGGGACTTGTTAGTATTTGAGAGCATGCAGCATGAACATTAGGAGCAAGGTGGGAATAGAGAACACACCTTTCACCCTTTACTGCAAGAATTCCAGCCATAAGATCACTATGTCCAGCTATAAATTTGGTAGCTGAGTGCATCACGATATCTGCACATAGGACAATAGATGGATGTGAACTGTGCCATTAAATGGTGTAGAATGCTCTTGTATCTAGTTAACACATTGTTCCATACCAGCTCCCAGTTCTATAGGACGGGAGAGCACTGGAGACATGATGCTGTTGTCTACCAAAACAAGAGCACCATGAGAATGTGCTATCTCTGAGATTGTCTGTCATGCAAACAAAAGAGAGGATGGAATACTAGTTAACTCTAAAAGGATACTTCTAGATAATAGAAAACCTAGTAATACAATCTTAATGATCACTGGATCCATGGATCAAGAGTCTTACCTTAATGTCAGTAATTTGCTGACGAGGGTTTGTGGGACTTTCAAGCCAAACTAGTCTAGTGGAGGGTCCAATTGCAGACACCACATCACTAATTTTTGTTGTATCTACTCGTCTGTATTGACACAATGTATATACAACATGTCAGTGAACAGCAAAAGAACAAAGAGATCACTTTCATAAAGACAATCAATATCACACTGACTTTACAACTATTCCATTTCTAGGCACAACTTGCGAGAGCAGACGATCAGAGCCACCATATATGTCCTCACCAGCAACAATTTCTTGTCCTGAAATCATAAGTTTGATCCATTAATTTATATAGGCATACACGAGATTATATGTCAAGCATTAGAAATGGGACGCACAGGAATATGTCAAGTGCTTACCAGCCTTAAGGAGGTGTGTTACTGCAGCTAATGCTGCCATCCCACTGGTGAAGCAGAATGCTTGATCTGCCTTCTCAAGCTTAGCCATAAGGCTGAACATGATATAAACTTCATCAAAACCATAATGCATTTCTCTACACTACAATAGTAAGGAAAAGCACTGTACTGATGAACTAACCTCTGGAGAACATCACGAGTGGGGTTACCACTTCTAGTATAATCATAAGGTCCATAATCTGTAGCTGAAGGCTGGAAAATAACTTTTGGGAGTAAGTCACTACTCACTACTGCAGAGTAGGAAACAGGAAAATAGAGCAAATCATGAACCATCTTAAGTACAATTATAAGCTTACTAGTTCCTCAAACTGAATAAAGACATTACCACACAATTTCACAAAATCAATATCCGCACAATAAAATACTCATAATTGGAAATCAAGGATTCAAGGCTACAGAGGAAAATGCATATGGTTTGTTAAATAACTATAGCATCCCAACACCTCAAGGACAACCAAGTCAATCTCAAATCTCAAATATAACTAGTGGATTAAGAAAAAAGAGATCATCACTTAACTATTGGCAGGTATACTACAGTTTCAAATACACAAACAACGGCCAGGCACATAGAATTCATCAGCACCGTACAATAGTAGATTTTTGTCCTAAGATTTGTAAATTTTGAAGAAAATTCCGCCCAGCCTATTGTTCCCACATTTGTCTGAATATTCATTCCATGTTCCAAACAATACAAATCCAATAAAAATCTAAAATACAGATTGATCACATCTGGTAGTGCAACCTAGTACGGGACACCATCAGAAGGTGGAAATGAAAACGAACAACATATTTATCAAAGAAATCAAAACGTACTGGCAAAGTTCGAAGCTTTTGGTTCCCCATTTTGGTAACAAAAAATGGGCAGCATTCGTTTGTAATCTCAATTACCTGCTTAAAGGTGGCTGTCTGGTACAGCGGTGTGCTCAGAGCCTCATACTTGTCGAACGAGTTCTCGAAGCTCGTCAGCATCGTCGCCACGCTCGGCTCCTTCGCCTCCAACTCTGCACCACCAGAAAACCAAACCAGCGCCCACAAATTCCCAATCTATCAATTATCCGCAAAACGGCCACATAAGCCCAATCCCACAGCCCCGAGCAACGCACCAGAATCAGAGGCGACTGAGTCCAGGGCCTCCACGGAGACCGCAGAGGCGCTGAGGTCCCGTTCGGAGCCGCCGGAGGCGCCCGCGATCACTGCCAGCGGGCGCCCAGCCATGCGTCGGGATAGCGAGAGGCGGAGGGGCGGTACGCGGACGGGTTGGGCTTCAGCGGCGGCCGCCGCGCTGCTAGGGTTCGGGGACGGGGCGGACTGGAGGAGGAAGAAGCGGGCTGGAGCGGTGGGGACGGCGGCGGCCATTGGCGAGGAAGGAGTGAGAAGCGGGAGTCGTTCGTCACCTGTGGGTGGGACTGGTGGACCCTGGCCGTGGCTGCGTGACAGCGACATGTTTATAAGGGGGTGGGCTATGACTGACATGTGAGCCCGATTACCTGTGTGAGCCAAATTGCGTGCGGGTGGCCCCTAAGAAGGATTAGCTTACATTGTCTAGGTTCGTTGAACGTGATTACGTGAACCTGTAGCACGAAATAAGGGGCGTTTAATATGATGATCTGTTAATCAAGGGCTGCAGTCTGAAAAAGTAGCTTCTTATGATCTGAAATGGTTCTCCATCGTGATTTTTAGAGTTTGCTAAAGAATCTAAGAGAATCACTTTCAGCCACAAAATCACTTCTCTCAAAGAATCAACTTACACAGAGAATCAAAATCAAAATGTGATGGAGCTCCACTAAACAGACTCTTAGTACTCCTCTCTAAAAAAAAACTGTTGAGCTCTGCCAAAGCCTAAAGTTCATAGTTCTAAAACTACGTCTATACATAAGAAAATGAATACATAAAATACAAGTTTGAATGTCACATCACCAATGAATGAGGATTTCGGCCTAGCTTCATTATTCCTGCTCCCTCCCCCTTCTCTACACCTCTCTCGCTATTTTTTCATTTTTCCCGAATCAAAGTACCTATTTAGAAAAGCTCCACCACTAGAAAAAGTGAATCCGAACCCAGATTCACATGGATCCAGTGTGAAGTAACTCCACCTAGGTCTAAGATTCATCATTCGTCAAAGTGTTTGGTTCGGCTGCACCTCCACCTCCATCTCACTTCCATCTGGACCCCACATGTGAAAGGTCCTAATGGCTAGAGAGAGGGTGAATAGCCTAATAAAATTCTACAACAACACTTAACAAAATGTGTTAGACAATTTTGCGGTGAAGCAAGTGTTGCGCTAGCCTACTAAAATGCAAACCACCTACCACAATTCTATTTCGAATAGTGTATGTCCACACAATAGCTATGACACTTAGCTAAATTAGTGTGCTCTCAAAGACTAACTAAAGAGCAACACTAATCAAACAAACAAGCTCTCACAACTAGCTACACTAAAGAGCTTGATAACTAGTTTATGATAATGTAAGAGTGACCAAGAGAGTTATACCGCAGGCCGTGTAGTGGTAGGAACCAATCAATCACAATAATGAATACCAATGTAGACCAATCACCTCGGAATCAAATAATGAACACAATGATTTTTACCGAGGTTCACTTGCTTGCTTAAGCAAGCTAGTCCTCGTTGTGGCGATTCACTCACTTGGAGGTTCACTTGATTGGCATCACTCGCAAACCCTCAATAGGGTGCCGCACAACCAACACAAGATGAGGATCACACAAGCCACAAGCAATTTACTAGAGTACCTTTTGGCGCTCCGCACGAAAGGTCAAGAACCCCTCACAATCACCACGATCGGAGTCGGAGACAATCACCTCCTCCACTCAACGATCCTTGCTTTGCTCCAAGCCATCTAGGTGGCGGCAACCACCAAGAGTAACAAGCGAAATCCGCAGCGAAACACAATCACCAAGTGCCTCTAGATGCAATCACTCAAGCAATGCACTTGGATTCACTCCCAATCTCACTATGATGATGAATCAATGATGTAGATGAGTGGGAGGGCTTTGGCTAAGCTCACAAGGTTGCTATGTCAATGAAAATGTGCAAGAGCGCTCCCTTGAGCCGGCCATGGGGCTATAAATAGGGCCCCAATGAAATAGAGCCGTTGTTGTACCCTTCACTTTGGCACAACGCGGGGTGACCGGACGCTCTGGTCCGATCGACCGGACGCTGCCCTCGGCGTCCGGTCACGCGTGATTCACGCCACGTGTCCCTGCTTCAAATGTTGTTAAATCGATTTCAACGGTCATGAAGCCGACCGGACGCTTCGAAAAAATGCCGGACGCCAAGCCCTGAATCGTCCGGCCGCTTTCGAAGCTCCCCGAGGCATGTTTTTTTTACGGGACGCGTCCGAATCCACTCTTGACCGGACGCACCAGCGTCGGTGCTCAACTCCTAGCCAATTTGTATCATGCTGAAGTCGCCATGACCGGACGCAGTGACGATCGGCGTCCGGCATACCGGATTCAGCGTCCGGTCCATTGGACCGACGCCAAAGACATCATTTCGATCAACTCCATTTCAACTCTTACTTCTTCACCCTTGCTCAAGTGTGCCAACCACCAAGATTTTGCATCCGGCGCATAATAGAAAATAGACATTTCATTTTCCCCGAAGCGCCAATCCCATATCGCAAGCTTCGGCGGGGGAGAGAGGGACCCAAACCCATCTCAACCCTACAAACACCTTGTGCACATGTGGTAGCATATTTACACAAATATTATCAAGGGTGTTAGCACTCCACTAGATCCTAAATGCATATGCAATGAGTTAGAGCATCTAGTGGCACTTTGATAACCACATTCCGATACGAGTTTCATCCCTCTTAATAGTACGGCTATCAAACCTAAATGTGATCACACTCTCTAAGTGTCTTGATCACCAAAATAAAATAGCTCCTACAAGTTATACCTTTGCCTTGAGCTTTTTATTTCTCTTTCTTCTCTTCAAGTTTAAGCCCTTGATCATCTCCATGCTATCACCATTGTCATGTTATGATCTTCATTTGCTTCTCCTACTTGAAGTGTGCTACCTATCTCATGATCACTTGATGAACTAGGTTAGCACTTAGGGTTTCATCAATTTACCAAAATCAAACTAGAGCTTTCAACATGTCAAGGGGCATAATGAAAAAATGCAAATAAACCACTAGCTCTTCTTCTTCCTCCCGACAACTCGCATGTGCATGAGGGGGCGGATATGGCGCGGCTCCAGCCGGTGAGGGCGCTAGTTCTCGCGATGCCACGGTGGGGCGCGGGGCAGGGGCACGATTGGCGCGGGCCGTGACCAGTGCGGGGGGGGGGGCAACTGATGGCCTGGGTGCGGCCACTTGGGTGTGGGCGCAGCTGGCCAAGCGCAATGCGGCTACCGGCTAGGGGTGGCGCGATGGTCAGGGTGGGCGAGCATGTGTGTGTGAACGTGGAAGATGACTTGAAAGAAAGAACAACGCGTCATTTTTCTGTAACCAGTGGTAATGGTGGTTAATTTTTCTAACTCTAGCAAATTTGGATTTGGTGGAGCACCACGTGAGGCGCTCCACCAGTTTAGTGAATCTGAGGGCAAATCTAGCATTTTGGTGGATCAGATCCACGGTGGAGCTGAAAGTGTTTGGCTAGAAAATTAGATATGGATATATTTTCGGTGATCTAAAGTTGGTGGAGCTCTCTCAAACAGGCCCAAAATAAGAATTATCATGAAAACATAGACTTATACAGAGAGGAGGAAGGGGAAGATGGCGAGACCTTAATGCAAATGAGACGGCAATAGCCCTTGGTTCAGGGACAACCACCACCACCAGGAGAACCGGCAACTTGTTTTGGGACGGGCAACGACTGAGGCGATAGTAGGCAATGACACTAGGTGGAATGGCGGTAGGAGACCATTGACGACATTAAGTACATACTCACTGCTACCGAATCCATCGTTACCAATGGCTCTTCGCCACCTATCGGATACCATAAAAAGGGGTACCCTAAGTAAGAACCGAAAAGATTGCTTAGACCTTGCAAAAATCAAAGCAAGGGACAACCACGAGGTCTCGGCTGATTCACCGATTCGCCCAAGGCATGCACCAAAAAAGGCCTCGGGCGAAACGCCAACCCTCTGCCTTGCCGAGGCCCTATCGCCGAGGCCCTCTCGTCGAGGCCCTCTCACCGAGGCCCTCCCGCCGAGGCCCCGCCCCGCTAGGCCTCGGACGGGTTACCGATTCTCCGATTCGCCCGAGGCCCCGCGCATAAAGCCTCGGGGCGAAATGCCGATTCTCCGACTTCGCTCGAGGCCGGCTCGGCAACAACCTCGTCGCCTCCGCCTCGTCTCGACCGACTTCTCGACAAAACATCACGCGTCCAACCACTCCCATAACGTCACCGCATTACGTCAACGCAGCAAAGAGAGCGGCCGACGGACGGGAGATAGGATCGAGCGGGGTTACCGACCATCATGTTTCAACCTCGGGCCCATGATCGGGCGCCAGTCTTTGCCTTTGCTACCACCTAATTCTGCTCCTCAGAACAGCGCAGCGTGGGGAGTCAAGTCCGGGTCACTATAGCCTCGGAATAAGTGTATAAGACCAACTGCTCCCTCCAAGCCTCGGCAATCCACTTCAGGGCCTCGGCAGCCTAGGGATTCACGCCCGCCGAGCCCCCCACGATAGCTCGGCCTCGGCACCAACTGAGCCTCGGCTCTTTTCACTGTCAACGCACAGCGACCGGCACGACGACGGCCATACCCTGCGCCAAGCTATCACTGGAGCTCCCACGTCGCACAGGATCGGGTGTGACCGGCGCGTTTCTCCAGTGCATCAAGGACAAGACCACTCCGTTGACCATGCTGCCACAGTAGCAAGCTACAGGACTCAGGCACACCACCTCCGCTCACAGGACACTGCATAACAAACACATGTATCACCCATGTCCCCCCTTCAACTATAAAAGGAGAGACCGGGGTCGTTTCTAGACACGAGAAAAAGATAGACGAACACTCACGTAGGCTCACGTAGATTGAGACACACGCACTCTCGCTGCCCGAGAGCAACGTCTCAAGCAGCCCGCACCGCTCCACGCAGAGACCTAGGACTAGCTCCCTCTCTCGCTCAGCTTGTATCCCCCTACTACAAGCATTTCGGTGCAAGGAATATAAGATCGATCTCTCAGACTGGACGTAGGGCACCGATTGCCTGAACCAGTATAAACATTATGTCTCTTTGCATCACCATCCGGGATTAGGGACACGCAGTTCAAATTCACTAGTTGGTTGAGGACCCCCCGGTCCGAAACACCGACACCACCGTTTGCTCTCACCGCCGGTCCGTGTTACGAACTGTTGTTGAAATAATTTTCAACGCCGGTTCGTG